AGAGCGGCCCACCCCAGTTACAGCTGTTGGGGTGGCAACACCAGCAGGACTTGGAGGGGAAGGGCGTGCCATCCCAGTTACAGCTTGCCACTGTACTGAACATAGTGCGGGAGCACCTCTAAGCACTATCCTTGTTAAAAGAAAATCTTCTTAAAAAGGTTCATTTCCTCGTCTCAGCTGCTTCTTCTCCTCTGTGGTCTGTGGCCCAGACAAGGAGTGCGTCCAGGCTTCTCAAATCCTCTGTCTCATTTTCTGAGTGCCTGTTTGCCCCTTTCCAAACAGATGTGGTCTACCCAGTGATGCCAAAATGGTTCATGCTGCCAGCAAATGGCATGCATCCATGAGGCGCAGTGCCCCTCCCATGGGATTTGGCTTTCTACACGTGAGGGGTTTTATCTTTTGGGGCAGACAGTCCTGTATGTGGTACCACGTTTCCTTGTCCTGAGTTTGGGCACAGTGTTGTTTCCCCATGACTTTGCAATAAGCAGTCGCCTTCATCGGAAGTCATATAACTTCCTCCTTGGTTCTTGTTTTTCCGTGCCATCTCCATCCGTGTGTACAGACTCATGCATACGCATTGGTGTGCAGGGCATGAGGGTGGTCCCAAGGGAGGGGACACGAGCATCTCCTTGTATCCCTGAAGCCCTGTTCAGTGACTCTGGCTTTCTCATTCCCTTTTCTCTTGCAGTTTGGCAAACCTGGTGACTTTGGAGCTACGTGAGAACCTGCTAAAGACTCTCCCCACGTGAGTGTCTGTCTGGTGGCTTCAGGAGTCTCCTGCCTGATTGTTGTTACTGATTCCCCAGGGACTTGCTGTTTCTGTAGTACAGGCTCTAGCACGTTGCTTGGGAGGGCTCAAGGCTTTGCTTAAATTTGCTGCATCTGGCTGGATCTCCTAAATTGGGGTGAGGAGGAAGGAGATGGTACAGGGCCTAAGAGCAGGGAAGGATGTTCAGAGCCTGTGCTCAGCCTCTGTGTCAGGATTGATATGGAACGGACAAGGTTCCACAAGAAAGCTGCTGGAAATGGTGAGAACCATTTTTCCTGGAGAAGTGGAGCAGATGATGGATTCTTTTGGAAAAAGGAGAGAAAAATGTGCCGATGTGGGTATAGGAAGAACTCTGTATACAGTTAAGTTCATAATTTGAAGAGCAGCAGATATGTTTTGCTTCTGACATCTCTGTTTTCTTGAGTATCCCTTCTGATTGTTCTGTTTGAGCAGTTTGTGGGAATGGGTGGGATAACTGGCTTTCCTGCAGCAGACAAAAAAACAAGCCAGCAAGGGAGCAGAGGTAAGTCTTGTTAAATGTTTCAGAGATTTAGGAACAGAGGTGAGTTCCTGGTAGAGGATCTGATTGGTACAGCTGATGCTATCAAGTAGACAGGATGTGGAGAACTAATGAGTCTGTGGATGAATCTCTGGTTTGGAGCCCATGAGAGCTGTTTTGAGTTTTCTAACCTACGTGAGCTCTGTCAGCCTGTTTTCTGCCTGCTTATCCATCTAACTGATGATTCCCTCAGTTTTCCTTGAATATCTGTTGGAAGGGATTCTACCTGACCTCTTTTTGAATGGCAGTGTGTTTTGGGGACACGCAAACTCCTCAGTGAATGTGTGAACTATTCATGCAACTGTTGTTGCCTTTCCTCTGTGCCTTCTTACTATTCATGGCAAGTATTCAACTTGGCTACCTGTACTTTTCCCCCGTGCTCCTCTGCTTCATTTAAAAAACAGGGTGAAGGAGGCATCTGATGATACAGTGTTCAAGCAAGGCTTTGAGACTCTTAGGGCTTTAGTCTTGCTGCTTCTGTGATGGCCATGGCTCCCTCACTGTGACGTGTTGCTTTGGCTCAGGTGCGTGCTCTTCCTGATGGTGATGTTTTTTTCCCTCTGGGACCTGCAAGTACAGGCTTTATATGACATCACTTATATCTGCTTGCAGAATTCATGCGTCAGCTTTGACGCAGAGGACAAGATACTTCCAAAAAGGAGCTGAAAGAGTCTGCAGTGGTCGGCTCCCAGGCTTCACATCTGGTGATTACACGATGTAGAAGCATAGTTCCAATTAACACTGTCATCTTGCCTCTGAAGCCAAAGTCACCGGATCTTTTCTGCACAGAAGTTGTCAGAATTAACACCCTGTCACGGAAAAGCGATATTAAAGAGACCAACTGAGATGGCCCCACATGGAATATAGCCATGAGGGGGAACATGAGAGCCAAAGCTCCTTATGCCAGGCTGAGAACAGGCAAGCAGGAGGAGTTTGAGTCCTGGTGTTGGGACCCACTGCTGTCTGTTCCGCGTGTTCTTTGTGTTCATATAGACAGGTATGACCACTGCGACACACCATATAAACCAAGAGGTGCAATAGCTACATCCAAAGTTGGGCTTTGAAACCACAGTGAAGAATGGTCCCAATGGCTTTTCACCATCTAGGAACCAGCAGGTATCTGGAGTTTGAGAATTCAGTCTGTGACTGAACCCATATGGCTTCTGGGGAGCTCTCTCATGCCCAGTGCTCCCTTGTTTCCCTACGTTAGACTGGTATGCCATCCAGCAAGATATTTGTAGCATGCTGTGAGTTTTTGGAGTTTTTCTCTGAAAGTTCAGGCTTGATACTCATTCTGCAGTGCGATTCCAGCGTCTTTTCATCTTTCCTCAGTTCTCCAAATTCTACTTTTGAATTATTTCCATCAGTAGAAGGAGGATCTCGAAAGCCAAGGCGTGTTCGTCAGATCTATCAGTCAAATATGAGATAGAAATCAACAGCCAAAGAAATTTCAGTGGTGCTGCCAGGTACTCTACCCAGATCTGAAGCTCTTGTACTTAGTCCAGTTGCAAATTGTGCCCAAGAACCGGCTCTAAACAAGTCCAAGTGATCTTGCCAAAGGGTAGAATGACTTACTGAAACGAATGGTGCTTCCAGTTTTCAAGGTTACTGAGCCCAGTAGGTAGGTGGGCTTCAGTACTGTGAATTTGTGACTGCGTAATGCATCAGTGTCCTTTTTATTGTTGTTGTTGTTGAGCTCCTTAAGAGATCCAGTTTGCAATGACCTGTACCTGTCAAAATCTAATTTCATTGGTTCGTCTTCTGCTGTCAACTGAGTTTTGAAATAGTTCATCTTGTGCAGCTGATTATTACTTCTCATCTCTCTCATGCAGATGGGACACAACTGGCCAATAATTTGGGAAGGGTAGCTTTCGTTGATGTGTTCTTATGGAATACACCATGTTATTTTATCACCATGTTCCAAAAAAGTGGTTACAAAGAAGATGGAGACTCCCTTTTTATGAGGAGTCATATGGAAAAGATGAGGGGTAATGGGTAGAAGTTACTCCTGGGGAGATTCCGATTGGACGCAGAGGAAAATTTTTGACCATGAGAACAATCAGCCATTGGAATAATCTCCCCAGGGAAGTGATGGATTCTCTAACATTGGACACTTTCAAGATTCAGCTGGACAGGGTGCTGGGCCATCTTGTCTAGACTGTGACAGGTTGGGTCAGGTCATCCTTGAGGTCCCTTCCAACCTGGTATTGTAGGATTCTCATGAATCCTGGAAGGTGATCTGTACTGAGGCATTTTGCAAGACCTCGTATATCACTAGGGATTCCGCAGCAAACTTGTCCCTGTTTTGGGAATTCAGACTGTGAAGGTGCAAAGAGACAGTCGAGGCTTCGGAGAAGTCCAAGCGAATGTACGGGCGTGATGAGAGGCTGCTGTACAACAGAGTCTCTTTGGGATCCTGTTGATAAACCTTTGCTCGAGTTAATGTAATATCTCAAAATCCACCATTGCCTCAGGTAAGAACTTGCTTTTCCGGTGTAGCCCAAATATTTTCATAGCCTGGCCCCGGGACACATCTCTCTTGTGGCTTCTCACAGATTTGCAGCCCCTAACTTCCTTTGGATGACGTTGAGATGTGTAGCTCTGTTTCCAGAGAAATACAGTGATTTCTGTGCTGGGACAATTACGTAGAGAATGACAAGAACCGAAGACCCTCCGTACTGGGGCAGCCGGCAGGGCTGAGGTGGCAGTTCTGCCCTAGTGCAAAGTAAGAGGCAGCCACCCCTGCTCGGGGACGTGGGGTTGGAGCTGATGGGGTCGGACTGAGAGCTGAGGACACGTGAACACCTGGGCCATGTCAGAAGAACTGAATCCTGGCCTCGTGGGATTGCAGACTGCCGCCTTTTGCATCGCCGGGTCGTGACACGTTTGCACGCTCAGGGCACGTCCCTGGACCACCAGCGGTGACAGGCTTTGGTTCCCATGCAGGCTTCTCGCAGCATCTTGCCCAGTGAGCTTCTTGTCTGTGCACCTTGACCTCTTCTGAGACATTGTGCCAGTGTTGTCCTTCCCTTCCTCTTAAGCAGCGTGGGCATCCCGTTCAGGGAAATGGAGGCTGTTGTATCTGTCATTCCTGCCTCTCCCTACAGCTGTGCTCCCCTTGCCTCCCAAACATGTATTGTCCTCTGCTGACTCTCTCCTGTCATCCGTTAGCCTGTGCTCAGGTCCCCATCCTTGCTACAAAAATGGGCAGCAATGTTAAGGTGTGGCTTGTCACGTGTCATGTTTTTGCTCAGAGTATTTTATGGTGGGAGGCAGGGAAGGCAAACTGGTGACAGAGTGCAAACTGGCTGCGTTGGGTTTGCTGGTGCTGTTGAACCCAGTTTCCTGGTGCAGGCTCAGAGGGACCATGAAGAAGGTCAGGATTGCCCCACCTGTTTTAGGAGTTACTAAAAATTACATAATTTGTGACATATGTGTCCCAGATGCTAACCTTCTGTTCTTTCTTTCTTTCTTTCCCCCCACCCCCCTTCCCCTCTCTCCGTGTATCTCGCAGTTCACTCTCCTTCCTTGTCAAGTTAGAACAGTTGGATCTTGGTGGCAATGACCTGGAAGTACTGGTAGGTGAGGGACGGTGGGGAGGGACTGTGGGTGGTCGGCAGGGGCAGAACCCTGTGCCTTGTGGAAGCAAATGGGTTTTAATTTGAAACGCAAAGAAATAGACCCTCAGATTGCTGGGGAAAATTCTGATCTGCCCACCGTGGCTTAGTCGTTGTTCCCAGCAGAATGTTCTCTTCGTGCGTTGGCCGTGGTATCGTGCTTCCTGCTGTCCTCGTGCACAACTCGCTCTGCTCTGGGTGTTCGTTCGTGCTATCCAGCTGCCCGAGGATCTTTCTTTTCCAAAGCAACTCTCTGCTTGGTGCTTCCTTTCTTTTCTGTGTTGCACTGCCCCCAGCTGTTGTTCTTCACTTCTGCTAGGCCAACTTTCTGCCTTTCTCCTTTCTGATTTGCTTTCTCTACCAGAAAGTGCAGGACCATTCCCTGTTGCTCCTGGCCGTGAAGTCAGCCAAGCGTGGGGTGTGCCCTCTGGCCTGGGGTGCCTCCATGGAGGGCTCTGAACGTCAGCGTGCTGAGAGCCAGCACACAGTCTCGAAATTCAGCTTGGCTTGACGTTCAGGGATATCCAGTGATGTTCTGGATGTGGATTAAGCTGTTACTGAATCCTACTCAACGTTCTGCAATGCTTTTTGGCAGAAAGCTGACTAATTTGGGAAGCAAAGGAGCTGCTCCCGCGGCTTGCTCTGCGCAAGGCTGCGGCTCGCTTGTGACAGCAGTTGTCTGATGCTCACCACGCTTCACTGATGCGTTGGCTCCAAACCCAAGTGTTCAGCAGTGTGGGGTGTTTGTGGAGTCATGCTCTGTACATCTGCCATTGCTGATGGTGCTGCTGTGTCACGTTGGGTTGGCTGGTGTCATCCAAATGTTTGGTTTGGTGTCTGAGAGGAGGAAGAGGAGAAAGAATTGTTTCTTCTGTAGGGCCAGAATTTCCAAGACCCTGTTTAGTTCCTTTAGTTCCAGACAGTCCTTGCTGTTGTCTTATGTGCTTCCTGTTGGGACCTGTTGCAGTCAGCGTGCCATTCCAGTCATTTCCAAACACGTGCCGCTGTATTCTGGCACGCCAACACGTTAGCTTCGTAAACCGTTTGGTGAACAGTTCTAGGAGGTGTGAAAGCAACAACAATGTCCAGCTTTGCAGAGATGTGCTGTGATCTGTAGCATCCTAGAGCAGCTTCTGCCTTGTGGAAGGGACTGATGCTGTTACTGTCCTTCTCTGTTCCAGCCGGATACTCTGGGAGCGCTACCAAACCTGCGTGAGCTTTGGTTAGACCGGAACCAGCTCTCATCCCTGCCTCCAGTGAGTACCTGCTCAGGGCCATTGATTCCCCACTTTGCTCCCTTCCTCAGCAGCTCCCTCGAGCTGTACTGTCTCCTTTCTGATCCTAGGAGCTGGGCAATCTCCGCCGTTTGGTCTGCCTGGATGTGTCGGAGAACAAGCTGGAGCAGTTGCCCAACGAGGTCAGTGGGCTGGTAGCACTGACGGACTTGCTCCTGTCGCAGAACCTGTTGGAATGCATTCCGGATGGGATTGGTGAGTATTGTGGCATGGGGAGCAGTGCAGGACTTCACAGCCCCGGGGATACTCCTGGTGGGGGTGCTTCAGGCTTGATGGACATATTCACAATAGTTGAGAGCAGAAGCAGTAGATGATGCTGGTGAGCAGAACTCTACAGGACAAGACCAGGTTCTTGATCTGCACCATGCATGTGAACAAGCCTGGTGGGGAAGAAAGGTTGTCTCTGTGTTGTTGGGTTGCATAGTCCCTGACGGGAGGCGTTTTCAGCCAGATGAACATGGAACAGCGTCCTTGTCTCTGTGGCATAGTTCACACCTAGCTTGTTGCCCTGGCCAGGTCAGCTGAAGCAGCTCTCCATCCTCAAGGTGGACCAGAATCGGCTGACAGAGGTGACAGAGTCAATTGGGGACTGCGAAAATCTGTCAGAACTCATCTTGACAGAGAACATGCTGACAGTAAGTACACCAGCAGCCACCCTGCCTCTCCTGTGCTGCTCAGCTTAGCCACGTGCCAAGGATCTTCTCCATCTTCTGGCCTCTGAGCCAGATTCCTGAGCGTGCTCCAGCTGCTCTCCCTTCAGCTGCTGTGATCCACACAGTTTCACCTAGCTCACAGGCTCTTGAGAAGACTCTGGTGGAAGCTGTATTCTCTCACTATTTGTTTTTCTCTGAAAAATTCTCTGGGATAGCTGAGATGCTGGCTCTAGGATAGCCAGTCCTGAAGCCTGTCCAGTCTGATGGGAGCAGGACTGCAGGAAAAGCTGCATTTGGTGAGGGGCCATGGAGTAATGGGATGTAAAATGGCCCTGCTCCAAACTGCTCATGATTTGCTTGTTAGAACACAAGTATTGGGAGTGGAACAGATGAACAGGAGAAGGATCTTGACCAGCGGTGCTCTGAGTGTGCTGTGCTGAGGTGAAGCTGTAACAGTCTGGGAACCTGAGGGAAAATCTGTCCCAATGTTGTATTCCCAACATTTGTCTGGAAGGACAGAAGACAGCTTCCCCCCCGCCCCACCAGATAGAGGGCTTTATGCCTTTATACCTTTTTTCTGCTGCTCTTATCTTGTGCGACTACTGAATCATCTCCTTCCCAGGCCTTACCAAAGTCCCTTGGCAAGCTGGCCAAGCTGACGAACCTGAACGTGGATCGGAACCGGCTGACATCCCTCCCGGCTGAGATTGGAGGCTGTGCCAATCTGAACGTGCTGTCCTTGCGAGACAATCGCCTGGCCCTCCTGCCACCAGAGCTTGCCAACACCACTGAGCTTCACGTCCTGGACGTGGCCGGGAACAGGTCAGCAGGAGGAAGGGGACACAGTCTTGCAGCCGTGTTCCTAAAGAGGCTGCTGTGAAGGAGCAGCATGGGCTGCACCCTGGTCTGTTTTGGGAGATGCTGGATCCGTGCTGATCCCAGGATCCACAGTTCAGACGAGCTTGGCTGCTTAGGGCTCTGGAAAGAGGGTGTTTATCTCTCAAGCTTTGCCTGTTAAGCCCTTCTCCGTGTTATTTAAATACAGGGTAGAGCTAGTGCAGAAGTGTGGGGCATTTTGCCATGTGTGAAATAAAGATCAGGGGAAGTCCCTGGTCTGCCTTCATGCAGATTTTGTAGGTTTGTGTCATCAGTCCTCAGGTAATCAGTGCCAAAGTCTTATGATGTGCACCAGACACCTCTGTGGCTGGAGTCCCTGAAGGCTATCTCTGGAGCAGTACAGTGTTCATCCAGGCTTTTCCCAGTACAGTAGAAAAACACCTTCTCCTCCTCTCATCAACACTGAAGCGGGTCCAAAGGAGGCCACGGAGATGCTCCGAGGGCTGGAGCACCTCTGCTATGGAGACAGACTGGGAGAGTTGGGGCTGTTCAGCCTGGAGAAGAGAAGGCTCCGGGGAGACCTTCCAGCACCTCCCAGTGCCTAAAGAGGCTCCAGGAAAGCTGGAGAGGGGCTTTGGACAAGGGCATGTAGTGGCAGGACACGGGGCAATGGCTTTAAACTGGAAGAGGGGAGATTTCGATGGGATCTGAGGAAGAAATTCTTCCCTCTGAGGGTGCTGAGGCACTAGGACAGGTTGCCCAGAGAAGCTGTGGCTGCCCCATCCCTGGCAGTGTTCCAGGCCAGGCTGGATGGGGCTTTGAGCAACCTGTTGTAGTGGAGGGTGTCCCTGCCCATGGCAGGGGGTTGGAACTGGATGGTCTGTGAGGTCCCTTCCAACCCCAAGCATTCCATGATTCTAACACTCCCCACCCAGCGCGCACACACGTGCTCATGCATAGTCTTCATCATAACACATGAGCTCTAGAGTGGCTTTTGGCTGTACCTGGTTTTGATGCCAAGACTGTTGAGCCTTCGGCCCCTGGTAGTGCCTGAGCTGAGCACCAGGAGCGCTGTCAGTTCCGTGCCAATACAGACATATTTGGGTTTGCTTCGTTCCAGGTGCCTGAGGGCTGCACCTGGCTCTTATTCCTCAAGTTTTCTTTCCAGCCAGTGCCAGCTCAGTTTCTCCATTGTTTTTTCAATGTGACCAGTGTGCCAGTGCTCTTTAGGTGTCTTACTGGGATTGTCAGCATTTACAGAGTAAAATCCAGTCCTGTTAGCAGGCCTGTAGAAAGCGCAGCCTGCTACAAGGCAGGGATGGAGACCTTTTCCTTCCCGATTTGCCTGTGATTCATTGGCTGTTTCTGTATTTCGGCTGCGGGAAGATGAAATTTCTGCCAGGTGCTGTGTTACATGCAGCAGTTTAATATTTAGAAAGCCTGGAATTCGGAGACTAGAGGTAGACAAGTTAAAAAACTTAGAAAGAAGCCAAACCAAAACAACCCACAGAGTGCAATGCCTGTGATCTGGTCTGAGAGGTTCTGCAGATTTCAGCTACAGTTGTGCTCGCTGAGGCTGGTATTTTTTGTAGCAGTTGGAAGCTGACCAGAGCTTCTCTTTGGAAGGCTCTCGGTGTACTGGTCCGTGAAAGCATCATTTTTCTGTCTTCAGATCCCCCCTCCAAGTTCACCATTTGTGCATTGTTGATAGGACTTGTCCTCTGCGAAAAGCGGGTGCGGGTGGGTTACTGGAGTCCAGCCTGTGGCAGAGCCATATCCAGCACGAGGCAGCTGCTTCCGTGCGTGTCGGGGTGAGGGATCCCGCAGTGGCTCGGCTCTGTCCTTCTCCAGTGCAGGTGGGGCAGTCTGGAGCTGAGCTGGAGTTCCTTCGTTGCCAAGTAAGTTTAACCAACAGCTCTTCCTTTCTTTTGCAGACTGCAGAACTTGCCGTTTGCTTTGACAAACCTTAACCTGAAAGCCCTGTGGCTGGCAGAGAATCAGTCCCAGCCTATGCTGAAATTCCAAACGGAAGATGATGAAAAGACAGGAGAGAAGGTTCTCACTTGTTACCTGCTTCCCCAGCAGCCCTCTCCTAGCCTAGGTAAGAGAGTGGATTCTGAATGCTGCACCATGTGCTCTGGAGAGCGCTGCAGGGCAGGGACTGCGAACCTTCCTGTCTGCTTGCTCGGACTGTTCTCTGTTGCTGTGATACCTGTAGCAGACCTGGGCTCCTCGATGGCTGGTGGCAACTTGCAGAGGCAGATATTGTTAAAACTGAGAAATTGCTTCTCTGTCAGGTGGTAAAGAAGCTACAGCCTAGTCTTCAAGTCTTCTGCTTTGATCTGTTGACCGAGTTGTTCGTTGTCTGTAAGGTTTGCTTCCTGTCATGATGATGTTCTGGTGTCAATACTTCTGATTCATGCCTTAATCCTACCTTTTTCCTTAGTTCTTGGGTAAGGAGTGCTAGAGCTGAACCAGTCAATTGCTTCTCTGTCAGGTGGTAAAGAAGCTACAGCCTAGTCTTCAAGTCTTCTGCTTTGATCTGTTGACCGAGTTGTTCGTTGTCTGTAAGGTTTGCTTCCTGTCATGATGATGTTCTGGTGTCAATACTTCTGATTCATGCCTTAATCCTACCTTTTTCCTTAGTTCTTGGGTAAGGAGTGCTAGAGCTGACCCAGTCAGTACCTTTTGTAGAGGCTGCTGTAGATCTGGTGGGAGACATGCAACAGATGACAAGATCTGGAGGCTACATCCTTTGTCCTCAAGGCCTCTGTGGCTTGATGCCATGGATGGAGACAACAGACGTACCTTAATGGGTTGAGAACTGTCTTCCATCCAAGCCTACAACCCTGCTTGTTCAGAAAGTAGCTCCCACTGTGTTATCTTTCTCCCCAGAGAATCTTTTGCAGAACAGTGTGGATGAGAGCTGGACGGACACCAATTTAAATAGAGTCAGTGTGATTCAGTTCCTGGATGAACCCAAAGTAGATGATGAAGAGGAGTCTGGAGCTGAGAGACGGGTAAGAAGGAGAGTTTCTGGAGACTTTTTAGATCCCTGTGGAAACACAAGCACAATCTAAACTTTTTTACTAAGATGGGGAGCCGTTATGGTGTTCATGTTTCACAGCTCCTGTAATACGGCTGCAGACATGGACTATATTTTTTGAAGTCCAAAGGGCATTTGATGCCCTGAGGAGACAGCAGGTGTAAAAGAGAATTCCCTGAGAGCCTTTGTGCAGATTTACAGTTTGATGGCTGTCCGTGAGAGTTGAGCTGTGGCTGCCAACCTGCCCGTGGAGCATTCGGGTAGTCCAGAGATCCCCATAGTCAGAGCAGCGTCAGGACTGGATTTTAGGTGACTCCTCTTGCGGGGAAGAGCTGCACGGCCAAACTCGGGCCAGGCAGTCTCCACCTGTCCAAGCATGGAGCCGGATGCAAGCCCATGCGGTGGCCTGTCCCATTACTAAAGGAGCTGGACGCTGTAGACAGACAGCCTCAAAAACTATGGCAGATCATTTTGCTTTAGTTGCAGATGCAAAAGACAGGATAAAAGTTTCGGTTTTCAGCAAGTACTCTGTTGGTTTAAATCGTGCAGGATTTTTTCTCTTTTTATCTGTGGAGAGAGATTCTCCTGAGATCTGAATCCTTCTAATAAATTGTATTTGCATTTGTCCTTGCAGCATGGATATGCTGCTGGTGTTGGAAGGTTTTGTGGGGTGTTTTTGATTGCTTTTAACATTGTTATTAATTTTAGAATACTGTTTTTCTGACTCTTAGCTAAGGTGGGACTAGCTAAGCATCACACATTCCGCTAGCTTACAGGCTTGTCAGGCATGTTAAGAAATGCCAGAGGGATCAAGAAGATATTCCACCTGTGTGTTCCTTTACGGGTTTCTGTGTTGGCAGTTTTGCATTTGCTAAGCCTAAAGTGCAATTTAAAACTTCCCATCTGTATCCTCCTCCCAGTCCTTCTATCAGATGGAGAGCAGGATAATGTCTGAGAGCGTGCTCCGAGCAGCGCTACCTGCCTCCGTTTCTTTCCACTCTCCAGCTGCAGGCTACAGGAGTGGAGAGGCCCAGATCAGGTCCTGCACCGTGACGTTTGGGTGGTGTCCAGCCGGGGCTCCGGCGCTCCGATAAAACGTGTTGTTTGAGCTGGTGCAGTCTGGAGCCACGGCACATGCTGCTCTGGCTGCAGAATCTCCGGCTCTGAGTGTTTTCCCTCCGCAGGGCTTGCAGCGCAGAGCGACCCCGCACCCCAGCGAGCTGAAGGTTATGAAGAAAGTGATTGAAGTTCGGCGCAGCGAGGGTTACGCCGCAAAGGCTGACGCGGACCTGCATTCTCCGAACTCAGAAGTGAGTGCTGCTCACTGAGAAGTGGATAAAAAAATCCCGGAATCGTGTGTCGCGGACTTGGGGAGTGGGGAGGCAGTGTGTGCAAACTGAGCGGAAAGAACTTGCTTTTGGGAAAGCTTGGGAGGGAGCGAGCGGGAATTGCCTGGGTTCCAAGGTCGGGATGTGCCTTGTGGTGTTAGCTGGGGCCTCCGAGATAGAGCAAGAGACGTGACCAGGGTGCAGAGAACAGCCTAAGGGGGACGGCGTGCGTCGGTACCGCTTTTGTGGCAACACAGGGAGAGGAAAAGAAGGCTCTGATATTGCCAGCAAAGAACGGTGGGAACGGAGCGCTCGGGGGAGGCGTCTTGCTGCCCAGGTGCCATACTGAGAATAAATGCCTACATAGATGGGGGAAGAGGGGTGGACCTGGGTGGGATGCAGCAGGCTTGGCGGGGAAGGCAGTGGGCAGCCTGAAGAAAAAGCTGGATCTGTTGGTACTGGATCGTACCCCACCTTGTACCAGTCAGGGTACATTGCTCCATCTGCTGCTTTGGTTTCCATCTTGACTTTCACCATCATCTCCTCAGGAGAAGAGGCTGAGCGCCACGTCGAATCGCAGCGAGGATTCCCGCCTTTCCAACAGCACCGCCTCTGCTGACTGCAGAGGAGAGGAGCAGGGAGAGCAGGGAGACAGGAGGTGGCCGAACGGGCAGGTGCCTGAGATGCAGGAGCTGGAGAAGGAGGCAAAGCCCCGAGCGGAAGAGGAGCGTAAGGAAGCTGCTGACCAGGAGGAGGAAGATGTGGAATACAATGAGGTAGGAGCCGAGGAGCTGCAGCAGTATCATGATAAAAAGTGGAAGGACTGGAAAGTTTTGGAGAAAATGGTAAAGGGATGTACTGAGTGTGATTTGGGAATCAGTGGAGGCAACAAGAGGCTGTGGAAGCCAAGTGCAGAGATTCAGGCAGCCCGTGGGAGCTGAGTCCGTGGGAGACTGGGAAGGACAGTGTGGGAGCCAGACAGGGACTATGGGAAAATCGGGGTTACAGGTTTGAGTGCCCTCAGTCCTTGGAGCTGACGCAAAATGTGTCTGGGTGAAGGAGCTGATATGGAAAAAAACCAAGTGTGTTGGAATTTTAATGTGTATTCCTGCATCTTCTGTAGCACAAGAGCAGCAACACCGGCTTTGCCGGTGGTGAGCGGGGGGACACAGCAGGTTTCTGCACTGCCTCCAGATACGGCTCTTACCTGAGGTTCACAGCCTGTCTGGGACTTTGCCGTTGTAGCCCACTGTACACTTTGCTGAGGACACACTAATACGGAGTGAGGATGAGGATGAAGATGAAGAGAGACCATTCCCAGTGGAGAAGCAGAGGCTTATCCGCAAGGACACGCCCCATTATAAGAAACATTTTAAGATAACTAAACTGCCCAAGCCAGAGGCAGTGGTGGCACTCCTCCAGGGGCTGAACAGTGATGGAGTCCCCAAAGAGGAAGAGGAGTTGGGAGGCTGCAATAACAACACGGAGCCTGATGATCACGAGGAAGCGTGGGATGAGGATGACAGAAAGAATGGAGCTTTATCTGCTCAGCCATCAGTGAAGGTAAGGTCTTGTGGGGAGGGGGGAAGGTCAGAGGGGTGGCAGACCTCCCTTCTGCTGCTTTGAACTACTAACCAGGTTGATGTGGTACCAACGAAAACGTTGGCAAGAGGCTCCAGCACTTCAGGAGAGACATGCTCAGGGTGGGAGAGCTGAAGTTCTTTCTGGGGCTTATATGATTGTCCAAGAGCTGTGCCACGTTGCTTATGTCTGACCCTTGTGCTGTACCCAGATTCTTGCACCCTCCCCATTATGTGTGATGGTTGAGTTCTGTGCTGCAAGAATAGTTCTTTTGTCCCACCACTGACAGGTTCTTCTGTTTCTTTCAGTCGCCTCCTCACTTGCTGGTTGTTGCACCTCGTTTGCAACAGGGTGATTTGTCCCTGGATGGATCTAATCTCAGGCTTGTGTTCAGGCTGCTTACACTAGTCTTTCTGCCACAGTGCTTCCTGGAGAGGAGTGGGTAGGGAGAGCAGACAGGAGTGTGTCCCTCCTACGGGTTCCGCCCTGTGCTTGCCCCAGCACAGATTCAGGCTGGTGAAGTGTGCAGTGAAGTTTGGGGGAACTTGTGCTCTGGGATTTTGTCATTACCATGGGCCCTGGGGCTGCGATGGGCCTTTCTGGTGATGCTGGGGGCTGATGAGATAGGAGGTCCTTGCCTCTACTCAGTGGAATCGCCATCTCGATTAGGGACACCAAGAGATTCTTGCTTGAGGAGGATCCTCCCAGTGGAACAGGAGTATGCTGATGAGGGACACTGCCTGAGGTCAGACTAGTTCTTACTGAAGTTAGTGTGATGATTTTGGCAGGTGAGGATTAGGATGTGGCTCAGTCTCCATCATAGTCTGACACCAGCAAATCTCGTGGGTGAGATGTGAGTCTCTGAACTGGTGGAAGATGCTGGAGTAAAATCTGTTCCTGCTGTTACTGCACACGCTCCAGACTGTTGGGATCGTTTCTGTCCCACACCAGAGTTCAGATTGCTCAGGGAAGGTTCTTGCACTCAAGGTTGTTTTGGAGCCTTTCTCTCAGTGGAGCTTGCCTTGCAGTATCTGAGCGGATGCAGCTCGTCCCTTGTTCCCTAGGGACGAGGCACGTGGTTTCCTTACTGTTTGTGAAGTTCTTCAGAATGAAAGGAGTTTTTGCTGCTGCTCAGGCCATCTTGTGTCCCCTTCATCCAAGACCTGCCGTACTTGGGAAATGCCCTCACCCAAAAAACTTATTTTAGTCAGGGTCTCAAAGCTGAGGATGCACTGACCCATTGGCAAAAGCTGTCGAGTCTCCCTAGGCGCTGAGACGGCACGTTCGGTGTGTCCATCAGAAAATTGCCTTTGTTATCAGCTAAGCCTTCTGCTCGGAAATCACAGTTTTCCTTGTCATGGGGCTGGGTTGGAGGCTTGCTCCGTGAAGGCAGGTTTATTAGCTTGCCTCTTGAGCTGTCTTCCAGAAGTGGGAATGTGGGGAGTAGTGTCCCTGTGCGGTGGAGTTTCAAGTAAGAGGTGCTGCATACATGCATTGGAGAAGGTGTGCAGGAGGCTGAATCCTTAAACCAGAGGGTTTTTGCAAAGACAGTTGGTTTTCAAGAGAAATTCTAAGGTTTCCTGCGTTTGGGAGCAGGATCCCTGGGTGTCTCGCAGGATGCACTGTTCCACCGAAGGCTCTTCCCTTTGCAGGAGGGACCAGTCCAGTTTGATCTGGGATGGCTTCATTCCTGTGCAGCAGCTGGGTGGCACCAGAGGTCCCTTTGTGCTTTTCTCCTGTGTTGTTTAATCCTTCCTTCTTCCCTGAATGACTTGGTACGGAGCGGGTGCAGTCAGCTAGTAGTGTTCAGCTTGTGAGCTCGGTGGTCACAGCCTCAGAGTGCCAGCACAACCAAAATGTGGCCTTCCAGGTGCAGCTTCCAGTTGGCTGGGCCACGAGCACTGGCACTCTGCAGGCTGCGAGCCCAGGAGCAGCCCTGTCGCTGGTACCCGCTGGCAGGTGGTGATCAGGAGTGGGGTGAGTGGGGTCTGCTCTGGAGCTGCGTGGCCAGACCTGTCCGAGTGGTGTGCGTTTGCGTGTTGGGTGGTGGTGGTAGTCGTGGTGGTGGGTTTGGTTGATGCTCCACTAATCCGCATGCCTCTTTGCTGGTTCCTGTCCTAACAGGGGGTGTCGTTTGATCAAGCCAATAATCTGCTGATTGAACCTGCTCGCATTGAGGAGGAAGAGGTCTGTACCACTCCTACTGTTCTCTCTCTGCCAAAAATCATTCAGTCTGCTTGATTTGCTTCCAGGCTCACCGTTGTTGTAGGGGAAACTCTGATCTCTCTGGGTCAAGTGGCTTCTGGACCTGACTGATCACAAACACACAATGATTGTTTCCTCCCCTGCTTTCTTTCTTTTCCGTACCTGAGGTGAGAATGGCTGCTGCAGATCAGGAGTGGGATGGAAGAAATGTAAATAAAAAAACCAAAGGGGGCTGAGGTGGAAAGTTCAGTTCCTATTTGCTGTGCCCTGAGGAAGGAGGAGGTGGAAGAAAATAAAGGCATACTTCTGGGAGTGGCGGGTAGCCCTGAAGGCCTCGGGAATCTGCTGAGTGCTACGTGTGACCCTTTGGGAGAGGGAGGGGGATGTGACTCAGGACACCGTGCCATTGCATGAGGAAGGGGGACTGGAGCTAATGGTTCATGCATCTCATGCAGCTCCGCCGCTGTAGGATCCCCTCGAGTCTTGACGTGCAGCACTGCGCTGTGGGGTGTCAGAAAGGGGCCGGTGGCACCGCAGAGTCCGTGAAGCCCCTGGCACACGTGTGGCGTTCTGCGCCAGCGTTTCAACCGCTGCGTCTCTGCCTTAGCTCATTCTCTGACTATGATCAGCTCCGGAATTGGTTTCCAAGTTTTCAGTAGCCTTGCCTGATCCTGTGGGTCAGTGGGCTTTCCGCAGCGGTGTTTCCAGGGAGCGGCTGGAAGCAGAGTGCTGCTGCTGCCGGCACGTGGCAGAACTGACGTCAGTGCTGTCGGACGAAGGTTTCTTCCCTTAGGACAGCACGGCGGTACCAGACCCATGTGTTCCATGGGAGGTTGTCTCTGTCAGCGTGGCTCTTTGCTCCTCCCTCCAGTGTAAAATGGAGGCTTTTCTTTCTTGGTTTTGGAGCAAGACCTTCTGGGAGGGAGATGACAAATCCTTTCCACTTAAGGCGAAACACGAGCTGGCTCCGATGTGGTCCACTGTTAGTGTGTCCTGAAGATCGGTCCGTCTTAGATCACTGAAAAACACATTCATATTTCCTGCATTTCTCTCCTCCATAGCTCTTCTGTCACTCAGAGACAAAACTGAGTATAGTCAGGTGCTTCCTGGTCCCTCATTTGGGAAATCATTGCTCTTGGTCCTTCTTTCCAGCTGTTAGAGATCGTGTTCCATTTGCAGAGTTTTCTTGCTCCTCGAGGAAACCTCAGTGTTGTGTGGGGAAGCAGTCTGCCTGCCTCTTCCCTGGCTCCTGACAGGGCCCCCCCTGCGTCCGATGGCCATGCCTGGGACTTCTCTGCGGTGGCTCAGAGGGCAGCTGGTTCGAGGCCCCAGGTTGGCTCCGGTGTCCCTGTGCGCAGATCTGTTCGGTGTGGTAGTGCAGCTCCCAAGGACAGGCGTACAGAGGTCCACCAGGTGGGTGGTGGTAGCTGAAGTCACCCCAGAGCAGACCGGCTTTGGGAAGCCATGGATTATCCTGCAGCGCTGGGGGAGTTCTCCGCTCGGTGGATGGCTGCTGACCTCTCCAGTCAGTGATGCTCTGTCATCTTAGTGGAATCGTGCTGGGCACCCACCAGGACCACAGCTCCTCAAACATCAGTGAAAGCAAACGGTGGGACTGGGGCTGAGGGTGCTGTAAGGGGGAGCTGGGCTCGGCGCTGTGGCTGGGACACCTCGCCTAGAGGGGTGCCCTTGCCGTCTGCCTTAGCCTGGCGGCTGTGAAGAGCGTGTGCCTCTCGGGGAGCAGGTGGAGGACAACGGGAGAAATACTCAGGGCCTTAAGGACAAGGGGATAAGGGGCGATGGCTTTAAACTGAAAGAGGGGAGATTTAGATTAGATATAAGGAAGAAATTTTTCACTCAGAGGGTGGTGAGGCACTGGAACAAGCTGCCCAGAGAAGCTGTGGCTGCCCCATCCCTGGACGTGTTCCAGGCCAGGTTGGATGAGGCTTTGGGCAACCTGGTGTAGTGGAGGGTGTCCCTGCCCATAGCAGGGGGTCTGGAACTAGATGATCTTTGAGGTCCCTCCCAACCCACACCATTCTATGATTCTATGACTACTTAGCATCTGAGTAGAGAATTAGCTTGGGGAGAGACTGATTCCAGATAAAGCATCAACCTGCTGTTTGCAGGGACAATTTAATGCCCTTGAGAAGAGCCTGTTACAGCTGAACCAATGGGGCTGATAAAACTGAGCAAGACCATTGCAGAGTGGAGAGCTTGGTGCCCCTGGAGCAGCACAGTTTAAGTTCATAATGCTGCTATCACATTCCTTGTGTAATTTTGTACAGTTCTTAGAGAGAAGGAACTACAGATTGTGTGTTCTTTAAGCCTAAACCATAATCCTGACCCAAAGGCTAACCTTGCCGGAGTAGAGCTGGAGACATCTGCCTAACTTCTGCCAGCACCCCAGGTCAAGGAGGAGGGAGCCTGGTGCTGCGCATGCAGCTGGTGCTTCCAGAGCTCCTTCAGTGGGACTCTACTACAGTGGAAGAAATACTTTTGTTAAAGCACATGCTATCTGATAGTGGATGTCTGGATTCCACTGCTCTCTTCCCAATGTTTTGTCTCACTCTCCATCTGCCCTGCAGAAATGGCCGTGTGTAGGTTATAGGAACGCTCTCGGAGGAGAAGTGTATCGAGCTGCTATTTGAAGGCATGAGGTTGCACCTGAAGTCTGTATGTTCTCAGATAATTTTTGAAGAAATAGTCCAGAAAGAGCTGCTGTGCAGATTGAAGATAATAGTGGGAAGAGAGCCCCAAATTCTGTTTGAGTGGCTGATGCTTCGATGTCATCCTGTGTTCGCACAGGCTTAACCTGTCCTTGTAGAGCACCTGGAAATACAGGAGTCACGAAGGGCCCTGCGCTGGAAAAACTTGTGCCGGCCGAGGCGCTTTATAGGTTCTTGCTTCTCCCATGACACACTCTCCCAGCTGCACAAGGCTGCCTGGAAAGGGTGTGCTGCCAGTTGCCCTCCCGAGGAAAGAGCTAGGCTGATCTCAGACGTTCAGATGGCCTTGACTTCCTCGCCGGAGGGTGGAAAAGATCCTGTCAGCTGCTTCTGCTCGGGTGTCACGTCCTGGCACTCTGGAGTCAGAGCAAGTCAAGTCTTCTCCCATGGGAATTGCTCAGAAACATTACTGTTCGTGTTTGGACATGGCCTCGCGCGTGGCACTGCGGTTGCTGTTTGCCAGAGGCAGGCTGTGACAGCACCGCTCCGTCCCGAAGCATCCCGTGTGCCGGGGCTCGGGCTCGGAAGGTTGGCCCACGCGGTGCGTAGGGACCTGTGCATCTCCTGGACCTGCCTGTGCTCCTGCCCCTCTGCGCCGTGCTCTGCCTTTGCTGGGTGGGACTGTGCGCTCGCCAGGGCACTGCCAGGCTTGGAATTCTTATGTGGCAAACTTGGTTTTCCCCACAATGTGACCTGTAGATTTTAAACTCCAGAAAGATTCATAAACCTCTCTTGTATAACGCAAGAAAGATCCTATCACCTGTGTCTGCTCAGCTGGCTTGACCAAAATACACCTGCTGACAGAGCAGAGTCCTCATGAAGTTCTCTTGCTTCTCTCATTTAATATTTTAGTGACTCAGCTTCCCATTGAGCAAGGAAAAATGTACCATGTTTTCTGCTTGAGTTTGTCTGGCTTTTAATTTATTGCCATAGGAATGTTTTTATGGCCCCTTAGTGTTCTCTCTTGCGTGGCGACCCCCCAGCAGTTGGGAGGCAGGGCTTGTGACCTCCTCGCGGAGGTGCAGCCTCACAGCGAAGGTCTGTCAAGGCACAGTCTGAACAGGATTCACTGCAAAGTGACAGGTTGCTTGTGTGATGGCTGCTTATTCATCACAGTATGTCACTGTCAACTGCAAACTTGATCTAATCTGGAGCTTTCTTGAGGACCAAGTAGCAATCTGTGGAATGATTTCTCACAAATGCAGAACTGTGGCAGTTTCCTTTCCCTGCTCCAGGAGCGATGGTCTGGGTCGCTTGCTCGAGCAGGAAGAACAGGAAGCAATAGAAGAGCGTTTTCAGCAGGGAGAGAAGATACTGTGTTTAAACAAAGCGTCCCACTGCAAATCTGATTTTTGCTTTTGGAATAGGAAAACACGGTGTATATAACAGGTACGAGTCTCGCTGCTTAGGACAAGGATTACACAAAAAAATTAGGCATTCAGATAACCCCTGTAGAAACTAATGGGACTTAAGCATTTGTGTGCCTTTAAAAACCAGTCCCTATTTGCAGACCCAGTAGTGTTGTCTGACTGTGTCAGCAGGGGAGGAGGAGAGCTGGTAGGACAGTTTTGAGACCTTGTGATGGAAGACAGTCTCCAGCTTGGATCTGGGAACTGAAAGGAGGCAAGATTGGGATAGGTCGCTGTTTCTGGAAGATGTGCTTTAGCCGAAAAAGTGCTGTGCTTGGTTCAGGAGCAACTAGCTAAATTTATGACAGAGATGACATAGAAAATTTGGAAGAAATCCTGAAGTCATGTCTTCTACCATCACTAACAACCGGGTGCGGTACTCTCTTTCATAAATCAGTCAAACTTTTTAATAAATTTAGATTGTCTTCTCCTGTTACTTGACGAGTGTGCACACACTCAGATTCCCCCTACTGGGAGAAACCAAGAGCTTCTCCAGATTTCTACTTCTTGCATTATTAGAAAACTTAACTTTCAAGCTGAACTTGCATTTGTTAATTCATTGTTTCCGTTAAATTTTACCTCAAAAATCTCTTTCCTGCTATCTGACCCTGTGTCTGCTTGTGCTTGGTATATTTTTAGGGACATTAGTCACATCTCCTGCTGGCCTTCATCGTACAAGATCAGAGAAAGCGAATTCTTCTCATGTTCTCTTGTAAGATAGACTTCCATTCCCTGTCTTTCTCACTGCCTTTTCATTCATCCGTTCTACTTTTTGCTTTTGGAATAGGAAAACACGACGTATATAACAAGTTTAATTCAAGTGTGTTGGCTGTGGAAAACACGA